TGGTATTCGAATATTGTATTTTCCTTACTAGATTTTGGTGCCACACATAATCTGAAACGTTCAGCTCCTTTTTCAATCATCTTCAGACCGGTCGCTGTACTGCGACTTGTTTTCTTAGACCTGATGAAATATATTTGCTTAGAAACTGACCCAGTAAAAGAGTATCAGTCTAAGTAGTCATACTCCAGTTGTTCGTTCTCAAATGACTAAACTTCACTAGTCATAGGCACTGTCTGTTCTGCCCCTCACCCCCTTTTTCTCCCTTCTTCAGTACCCCCATGGTGCACCACTAAAAACATTTTTAGAACAAACGGCTTTGTCCCGAGCCATCACTTATACCTCCGGAATTTATTAGGGTCCCTATCGAGAAGTAAAAATTGATGAGTTCAAGTTAACGCCTTCAAATGACTACTCTAGACCTCCATTCTAGTAATTCTCGATCATCAATTGCTTGCCGCAACGCATCTCCCAAAACGCGTGCCAACTCTCATATTGAACATGCTATTGGAGTCATGCTATCATTAATATTCTGATGTATGAAAAATTATCTCCTGTTTATAATGCCCATGTGCTCTATAATGTATCAAAAAAACTGAGTAACATAACAAAGTAAGTCATATAGCATTTTGATGAACATGATCTTGTCTGTAAATTGGCATGCCTCATATAACGTAATGTTATCTGAGAACATATATATTATTATTAAATACAGTTAGCGGAAGCGACCACTCAAGGACAGAAGAGCCAAGCCAATCGCTGATATTTAAGGACAGAGGAACAGATGATTAGGAGACTTTGAGGAACTCTTGAATAGACCAGCTCCACTGAACCCACTGGACTTCGAAGTAACGCATACAGACATTCCTATAAATTTTACTCCACCAACGAACAAAGACATAAACATGACCACCAGACAAATCGAGAGTGGGGAAGCAGCATGGCCTAACAATAAACCCGCTGGAGCACTGAAGTCAGATATATAGGTAAGTTCAAAAACATGCACCACGTTCTATTCAGTAACATTTGGGGGGAAGAACAATAGCCACCGAAACACAGTAGGCCTCGAAATAAACAAGGGATAAACCAAGATCCTCAAATAAAACGCGGAGAATACTAACCCAATCACAGCTAAATGGGAAACTTAGGAAGGCTTGAAATCTTTCAGGTACCTGGTCAAACTCATCGATGAACAAGGTGGATATGATGCAGATGTAAAGGTAAAGATTCGCAACGCAAGGGCCGTATTCCTATAATTGGAGAATATATGGAACTCAAGACAATTGTCAACCAATATCAAAGTCAAAATCTTTAATACGAACGTCAGTAGAGTTCTACTGTGTGGAGAGAAAACTTGGAGGGCTACTAAAACCCTCGTCAAAGTGTACAAATATTTCTCAACAGCTGTCTATTTAAGATACGCAATGTCCGTTGGGCGGATACCAGAAGGGCAAACCTTCTATGACAGGAAGAAAACCAGCTTCCAGCTGAAGTCAACTAGAATGGTGAGCTCTGGACAGAATTGGCTGGAGGATTTCGGTCAGTGTCCTTTGCTCCTCCACGAGGGGCAGCAGGCCTAAGTGTGTAAATTAGTATTTATTAAAGTTCTCGAATTATCAGAACGAGTGTCAGCTAAGTGTCAGTCTTCAGTCGGAAGAATACATGTCTAAAAATTATCAAAGCGGCACTCCAATTTTCCTCAGAAATCAGTTTATAAATGTAGAGCAAACTCTGACAGCTTACAATCAATCCCATAGATAGTTTAAAAGCCACTTAACCAGACACCCTCTATTGTCGGTTAAATTGATTTTTAGGTACAAGAATGAATAGCCGATTCCGTCGGCTGCCCTAGAGAAAACTCAGATTTACATATACTCGTGATAGTTGTGTTCAAGTTGAAGGGTCTAGCTGTTTTAGAGAGTAAGTACATGATTTATGTGGGAGAAAACCAATTACATCATAACGCATAGAATTATCAGTCAGACTGCTGTCGAGGGGTTAGTTTATATCTGTTTCCGTGGCCTCTATCACACAGAGCAAGGGAATGATTTGATTTTAAAAAACTGAAGTCCGACAATGGTTAGTCTAATGTTAGAATGGATGGTAGGGCAGTCAGTGTACAAAGGTGTTTCAGAGCGTGATTGTATTGGAACTTCTTGTCTAGTAGTCTAAGAGCTATATACTATTAAGGAGAACTGGTCCAGAATATTCAGCGTGGAATGTACGCATGTATAATTACTATTAGCTTTATTTCATAAATCCACAAAAAAGCTTATTGTTACTTAAGCTGCTCATTGGCTCCACGTAGGTTTCAACAGGAGACAAATTCGACTTGTGATTTAGTTATCGAGATACTTACAGATAGGAAAGTATGGTCGCTTCATTCAAGACGATACAAGGTTACTTATTTGGAACCTTATGCTGTTGAAAAAGTATTTCAGTCTGGAGGCTCATTCACGGAACTTTTCAGCAGGTACGTTGGGCTATGATTTCAGACAAGTTGTATAAGATTGTTAAATTTACTCAACAGTAGTATCTGAGAGGGACAGTGATAAGCATGTAGTGTGCATCGAGTCGCGATTGACTATGAACACCACTACGGGAAGATTGTGTGCCAGATATTTGACTGAATCCCTTCGTAGGCCAAAACCAGAAGGCAGTTGATGGCTGTAGTAAGATTTATTTGTTGGCGATCTTGTGGTATCGAAAGAATACCGAGATCGTGCCAAAGTTCACAAGTGGAACTACTGAGCGTACGCAAGCGCGCGCAAGGTCACAGTCAATGGAAGAAGGTATGTATTTGGTACACATAAACAAACAAGTACAGTAAAACAATCACTGGTACAGTTGACTATAATAATAATTGTTTCCGTTATACCAATCGCATTCTCTCCATAAAAGTAGGTCACTACAAACTAAAGTAGTAGAATTTAATTTACTAAATGACAGTTCACAGGACTATGCAATTCGTCCCCCATTAATCGTGAATGAACCAATATATCATTCAGGGAGAAGCCAATAAGTGCACATGAAGGCATTACATTCTGTAATTCGAACCGAGCGTTTTAATCAAATACAGAAGAAATTGATTTTGTGAACTCATCAGATAGCTTGAATAAATGAATTATTTAGGGACAGTGATATTGCAGGTAGTTGATAAAGTACAACTGTTGCATAGAAGATATGATCATCCTACAAAACACAACATGCGATTTTTAGGTGACTTATCATGGACGAGGAAAATCCATAAATTGTGAGAGGTGGACGAGCTATGCATGACTCCATTGTGTTAGAATGAACTTGAATAACAAAATCTGTACTTAACAAGTCTCATCGTAGTCCATAGGAAATTTTAGTTTTCTACTTTAGCCACTTATCGATAAAGTTTATTGAACAAACTTATTGATGCAGTTTAACTTTGGTTACGACGGCAACAGATAATACCGCACTATGTAAGCTTCCACACATAATATTAATAATTTTCACATAAAAATGATGACCTTGCTAGTTGAAATAACTGTCAGATCGTTCATTTTCCCACCGGAAAATGTGTTTCACCAGGTTGGGACAACTGAAATGTTACTATAAATTATAAAGAGGAGAACCCAATATTGGGAGATATCTTCCAATTTTGGGGAAGCCGCCATAGAAAATGTTGAGGTTTTGGTGCCATTTCCCCAAAGTTTTCCCAGAACCTTATTACATTTAAGTGAAAACCGTCTATGTTTATTGATGAAACCCTAAAATGTCTCGTAATTCTGGGGAATTTTCCGAAATTTCGCATTTCTCCACAATGTTTCCCTGAAACTTTGTGGATTTCTCTGATATCCACCCAGAATCTTATTACACTTTTGGAAATGCTTATGCATTTCATGATAAAACCCCAAAATCTCCGTCAATTTTGGGGAAATTCTCGAGATGTAACGGTGTAACACAATACTTCTACACAATTTTCGGTAGATATCACGGAAAAGCCTGAAGATCTAATAATCAATGCACAAAAGCTTTTGCTCATGCGTTCCATCTTTTCATGTCAATCTCGCACAGTAAACGCATTGCCAACGCATCTAAACTAAAATTGGTAACGAGAACCAGTCTATCACCGTAATTAAAAGGATGATTCGTCACACATTTTAAAATTCATTAAAGTTGAATAAAGTAAAAATCATCCAGTAATAGATAACGAGTTTCAATTCCTTATAACTGATCGTGTTTTTTGGAGGAATACGTTAGGTAGACGTTGAATTTTCCATTCACAATGTTCTACAAAAAGAAAAGAAGTAAGTCTTTGGTAAATAAACAAGTGTTGTAGCAATTATCCAACCTACGGGTTCCGAATGTCATTTAAAAGGTTGATGGCGTACCAACAGCATAACAATATTGTATTCTGAATGAAAAACTTACAATTTCGTCTGTTAACCCTTGCGAAGCCAGCTGAAAATAATATGGACAATGAATAATTATTTCAGTATAAATGTTTATCAGAAACTAATACACAAACAGAAACCGGTATTTAATCGCAGATCTAAAGTGCATTTATCTCAGTAACGTCTCGAAACATGTTCGGTCCTGCTTATTTGGTAACTCGGTCATCAACAGTTTGGAAACGTGGATATAAGTTTCATACAACCTATGAAGAGATTGAGAGATCGTAGTAAACGTAAATTCAGTCGGGATTCTAAAATATTTCAGAAATATTTGGAAGTTTAACCTTCCGGAGTTCCAGCATTTTTCTTTAAACGGTTTAGATTCACACTCTTTTAAAACAACAGTTAAAGCCGTATTGTATATGCTCAGCTGATTCATTGATAGTGTGTTCAGCACAAAAGAAAGAAGCTTTGGTATTTTTTGGTGAGGTTATATAAATAAGAGTATTCACTACCACAGTTGTTATCCAATAGTAACATGTAAAGTGAAGGCAAATATTCATTTAGATATTAGTTTTAATTTTTTATTTTAAATATGTTTTGTCAGTTCTAAACCAACCATATGGTTCCTTCTTTATGACTGAGCATATCTGTAAACTCCAGGTATTAGTTCAGTTTGCAGGATTCCGTAAGGATAGATCGTGTACAGACCAAATCGCAACTCTACGGATCATTGTGGAACAATCAATTGAATGGAATTCATTACTCTACATCAACTTCATTGACTACGAAAAGGCATTTGATAGCGTGGACAGAACAACACTATGGAAACTTCTTCGACACTACGGCGTGCCTCAGAAGATAGTCATTATCAAACAGAACTCATATGATGGATTACACTGCAAAATCGCGCATGGAGGACAGTTGACAAAGTCGTTCGAAGTGAAGACCGGTGTCAGGCAAGGTTGCTTACTCTCACCCTTTCTCTTTCTCCTGGTGATCGACTGGATCATGAAGACGTCAACGTCTGAAGGGAAGCACGGGATACAATGGACATCTAGGATGCAGTTGGATGATCTAGACTTCGCAGACGATCTGGCCCTTCTATCCCAAACGCAACAAATGCAGGAGAAGACGAACAGTGTGGCAGCAGCCTCAGCAGCAATAGGTCTCAACATACACAAAGGGAAAAGCAGGATTCTCCGATGCAAACAGAATGAACCAATCCAATCACAATTGACGGAGAAGATTTGGAAGATGTAAAAACCTTTACGTATTTGGGCAGCATCATCGATGAACAGGGTGGATCTGATGCAGATGTGAAGGCGCGGATCGGCAAAGCAAGAACAGCATATTTACAACTGAGGAACATCTGGAACTCAAAGCAACTGTCAACCAACACCAAGGTCAGCATTTCCAATACAAATGTCAAGACAGTTCTACTGTATGGGGCAGAAACCTGGAGAACTACGAAAGCCATCATTCAGAAAATATAGGTGTTTATTAACAATTGTCTACGCAAAATACTTCAGATCCATTGGCCGGACACTATTAGCAACAACGTACTGTGGGAGAGAACAAACCAGATCCCAGAGGAGGAAGAAATCAGGAAGAAGCGCTGGATGTGGATAGAACACACATTGAGGAAAGCACTCAACTGCCTCACAAGGCAAACCCTCACTTGGAATCATCAAGGCCAAAGGAAAAGAGGAAGACCAAAGAACACATTACGCCGAGAAATGGAAATAGACATGAGAAAAATGAACAAGAATTGGATGGAACTAGAAAAGAAGGCGGAGGACAGAGTGGGTTGGAGAATGCTGGTCAGCGGCCTATGCTCCATTGGGAGTAACAGGCGTAAGTAAGTAAGTAAGTAATTAGTTCAGTTTATACCGTAAGTTCATAATTAATAGCTTAAATGAATCAAAATTTAGGCTGGGATCTTTATGAACTATCATAAGCCAGTTTTACACCGTCACAATGCAATGTATGTCTCCAGAAACTCAAACGCTCTTCACTTAAAAATTCCTCACTCCATTGTAACACAAAACAATGAGACGTCATCACTAGGCTGCCATTTACTGATTATCCTTTCCGGCATTTAAAGATGTCACAATTTCTTTTATTTATCGCACGAAGTCTTAGCTCTAAAAGTATGATACACATCTGTAAAATCAAACCAGTCCTTTGATGGGTTCTTTGGTGACCACGATATAAATCTTAAAACAAGTTCTCAGTTCGTTTAATTTGATATTAAGGAACTAGCAAAGTGGAATAACAGTATAGAATTTGTTCCTAAAATAATGTAAACTTAGAAACAACTCATATTTGAGCGAAGAAAATAGGTTGTTTTACTGCCCTGGTACGGTCGAGAGTAAGGAGTGTCGGCTCTCTCTCTCTAAACGCTCTCACGTGTCTATGTACATCCAACCACTGCCAGGGAAGTCCTACTCACTGCCCTCTTGCGGCAAAGCTGTTGTTTACGAAATTGGGAGGACGAAAAGCAAATTTCTAGTGCTTCAACCGGGTTAGTGGACATGGAGAGTCCATCTAAGGGAGTTGGAAAACCGTGATTCCAAACTAATGGTGCACATGGGCTCCAGGATCCTGAAGAAACAAATGGCGTATGAGCCAACCATGTGACTGCATCTCCTGACGTTGCTCCACTGCCAGGTGGATTTTACCTTTGGATCAAAGGCTGTGGATGTGACTCTCAAGGAAAGCCACCTACTTCTGTTTGGTCACCCGGGTAGTATCCTGGCCCTCACACAAGTCGAATGATTTATGTGGCGCATATCTATCCGTTGCCTCCTTGTGCCTATGTTTATGTGTTTGAATGAAATAATAAAATAAAAACAAAAATATGTATCATAATAACGATTTGTGAACTTGAAATAAGATAACAAAACATTAATAATCCCAATAAGTCTGGAGCTTCGACAAGACAAAAAACTCAAATTTGATGTACGTAGTACGGAATTGTTTTGTACGGTCGTGGTAGATTCGAATGCAACATAAAACATTCGATTTTGCAGTAGATGTATTGGTTATTCACCTCAAGATGGCTAGTTTTTTGTTTAATTATTTGATTTATTCAATTCAAAATGAAATTCTTAATTTTAAACGTTATTTACTAGTTATATGCAGGTAAGTTGCAAATAAAAGCTGTTAAATTTATCGTAATAATTGCATCACCTTAAAAAGACTCCGAAAATTTACTGAGAAAATATCTTTAAAGAAGGTTATGATTGCGAAATTATATCGCTCATACAATTACTGGGATCTTATTTTTATTTTGTTTTTGTCAGACAAAGCCATTCTTTTCAGAACATAAAATGTAAAAATGTTTGAATGGCATGTTATTAGTCATGTATTATGTCAGCACTTTATTTAAAAATAATTTTAGCAAATATTTCTTTTTTGAGATACATTTTAAAGGTCCACTTTCATTTTCCAATCAAAATTTTGGTTGACCAAACATCGGAATCCAGTTATCATCTTTCTCAAAAGTTTTTAGATTCATTATTTACACATACAGTTAGTTAAGCAACATAGTGTACTAATAACTACACATACGAAATGACGAAATATGATGATGAAGAATTTTTAAAAGGGAGTTTTTACACGCTCTTCCAAAATGATTTGAAGACAAGTGAAGAGGAAAAACACAAAGTGTTCCATCTACTTAGACAGACACCAATCGATGTGTTATCTATGGAATGGCTGATATCAGAACCACATACTATCGAAGCAAGAGCTTATCTAATTGATAACGTTTTGCCTCAAGTTGTTTTGGGTTTGGAATTTATCTTAAAAGAAGCAACTCGAAGAAATCTGATCACACGCGACCTACTGGACGAAACAAGTTATCGAGCAGGATTAGACAGAAACTTCAATCCTGTTAACCGATTAGCTGAATACTTAATGCGTAATAACCATAAGCATAATCATTTTAGCGAATCTTTACCTTATGTCAGAGGGTTAAGATATACACTGACCATGTTGCAACAAGAAATGTTTATACAGTCAGGAAACCAGCTGGCTAAAGTGAAGCTAAGTGCTGATGCCAGACGAACAGAGGCAAAACAAAAAGAATTGAAAGTCAAGAAAGAGTATGACGGACAAATCGCTATAATTTCCTCGATCTGTGACAGTTTGATACCACCTAAAAAAAATTCAACAAATGCAAATATGGTGAGACGTCTCTCTATTTTTGAACTTCCGTTCCGATATGATAACATAGTTGGGCCATTCTTAGTTGAATATCTTATACTTATCTGCAACGAACTTAAAAACTTTTAGTTGATTAATTTGTGTAAGTACTAGGTCAGAAAGTAAGTCTGAAGCATCCTGAGCTATATACTACTGATCGGCTTTGGCCATCAAAAAATGAGCCATTACTGGATTGATTAACCATATTCAAGTGGTTTAAACACTGAATCGTCTTTTCATCCCTTTTTCTATCTTGATATATTAGTTATTTGGCTAGAGTGGTGAAACTGAATATTATGAAACCATTCAAATGTTGGTTTCACCTCAACTCTTTCGCCAAACTGAAGATAATTGAAACAAAAATATGGCCGTTTCTCAGACTGAAATTCCTAGTTCAGAATTTTACTGATAAAACTTTTTTCTTTAGTCATCAGGTGCCAAGGTGATTTGCATTTATAGTAATGCAGCTGACACTCTTAGTTTTTGTTAGCATTTACCAAGAAGCGACCAACTTTTTGCCACTGTGACAGTACTAACAATAGTTAAGAGTAAATAAGCCTTGTACAGCCGTATCTGTTTTGTAGACGATAACAAGAGCAACATGGTGTTGTCACCAATCCAAATCTTTTAGTCTCTAATTTGGTTCATATTATTCCTCTAAATTAGTATATCGTTTCTGATCAAGTTTTACTCAGTATTTCGCCATCGCAAATATCTTCAACATTCAAAAATGTTTAAGTAACAACCACTGTAGCATATTTAAATCCTGAAAAAGTTACTCATTTTAGATTAAATGGCGAAAACTCAGCTAATATTTCCAAGAAACCGTGAAATCCAATATGTAAAACATGTGTCGTTAAAAGTCACTTGAAACATAAGGAAAATAGGTGTGCCGTATTGCTGAACTCTTACAATAACGAAATAATACATAGTAAGAATGGTCGAAAAGCTACTTATTAGTATAGATTTGTAATCAGTGTTAAACAATAGCGTATTTCATTCAAATTTGTTATTCCGTGGGGAAAAGGAAGAAAGAGCTGATAAAAGAGGAAATGAACTGAGTATAAATGTTATTTAAATAACATAGCTTTGTTTTAATTCATATTATATAACTAATTTATACTTACAGGATAAACAAAGTTATTTTCTCGTTTTGTGTATAGTAATTCAATTTTTTGCTTCCAAAATATCTGTTAGGTAGTGAGCATTAATTAAATCGTCAACAAATTATAAGTGAGATTGATAACTACACTGGTTTCAACATTGTGTACGATGATGGGTAGTGAGACAACCCATTTGTTCAGGTATCTAAGGATTTCAGCGTTTACTCATATGAAGTTAGTTGTAATGAAAAATACGTTGAATACACCCCAGGTATCGTATACATTACAGCCTTTGTGACGGTAACCAGTTGTAATGACAATTGTATAACCATAGATATGAATTATCAGCTAACTTCCAGTGGGCAGTCTGTTCTCTTCCATGAGGGGTAACAGGCATAAGTAAGTAAGTAAAGTCTATAAGTGACTGTTTGTTTAATAGAGTAATCGTTAACATAATTAGTCATATGGATAAACAAACGCATCAAATTACGTTTTGCTAATAGCAATAAATACTAGTTTATCTTTGTATTCTATTCGAGTTTGATTAATTATCTTATTTATTTTAGATAGAAGATGTGGTACTTACATTCATGGAACTAACGAGTATACTACCGGAGGAAATGAAACAATGCTTAGTGCAAACTTTTAAAACTCAACTAAATAAAGACTACCAGACATTTTATGACAAAGAACAATTTGTTAAGGTGAGTGAATTCGGAAATTCCACACTTTAAGTGAAGTAAATATAGGATAACGTTTAATAAAATCATGTGGCTGCTGTCCTTGTATTGTTTAACAAGATATGATTGGTTGTTTTCTAGACCACACAACTGAAGTTGCTTTCCATTTTCACTCAGTTTGTTCATAAATGGGTTTTCGTATAATAATATTTAATTTTAATCTCGAAAATTGGACTCTGCAGTATTGATCATATAGAAAAGAAATAGA